CTCGAAAGCATTCGATTGTGTAAACCATCACAGACTTTTGCAGAAGCTTTACAACTACAGTATTCGAGGTCTCGTGCTTGAACTTCTCAAACAACGCACCATATCAGTTCGTGTTTCTCATTCCCTGTCCGTTTCTATCAAAGTTACCCGTAGAAATCTACAATCCGCTTGATTCCAGATTTATCCTCGCATTCATAAATGATCTACCGAATGTTCTAGGGACAGAACAATACAACAACGCAGAAATCTGAAATACATAAACAGAGCGCGAGGGTTTGCCAACGCCTTCAGAAATGCTTACCGCAGCTTATCAATGATCTATAGAGAACGACATTGAATTCAATGTTTCTACATGCAAAGTCCTAATCCTACGCCAATGGAGTAAATTCCCATATTTCGTCGGAAATCAACAACTATCAAATGCCTCAAGCGAGAAGGACCTAGGTATCATTATTCGAGAAGACTTAAACTACTCGATCAATTGCGTCAGCGATTCGTCCACGGTTGTGAAGAATGATCGGCTGGCTTAGACGCGTCCTCAGTCGGTTTAAAGCAGCACTATTGCCACATTTACTATCAGTGTACATTTGGCCATACACAGAGTACACCATCCATATCTGGGGTTTATGATTCCAACACGATCGTATGATGCTGGAGCATCCATAAATGATTGCACTATGTACGTATTCGTGTATCAGTTCTTATCGATTGTCCACTAACGTGATCGAGTTGTTCATCACAAACATTGACCAATATCTCTGCAGGTTGTTTATCCGTCTTAACAGATTGCCATCGAGATGGTAAAGGGGTTGCATTGCCTCATCTACAGGAAGAGATTGCAGCGATTGGGATTATATTCGATACCAGTACCGCCGAATTCGTCGAGACTTGATTTTCTTGTATGAAATATTACAGAACCGGAACCATTCATGTTGCCGCCGCTCACGTGGCCGCCCAACATTCACCTCAACTGGGATGTTGGCGTCAAATTTTCCCGTCAGGATGTGCACCATTTGGAACGCTGTCCCACCTCACATCATTTGTGCGCCCAATGGTGAATCTTTCAAGCGGACAGTTGATGAAACCCTGGCATCCCTAACGTTCCTACACTACTAGAAACGTAAAACACCTCATTAACTAATTACATTATGTGTTATTGACATACCCAGAACCATATATGAAATCTATCATTTGTGCCGAGAAACGATTCAATGGCGCAAATATCCTATACGGACAAAGAAGGCATGAACCTGTAGGTAATTTCAGTGATAAAACTTAGACGTTGATGTTTAGAGCCTGTAGCAAAATTGAGTTGGAACAGCCACCAAGAATCGCATCTCAAAGAGATACATTCATTGCTCATCGCACTCACTGTCCTCCAGGATTATCCGACGCGAATCAGGGAGTTTGAGAGAGTTAGAGGACGTTCAGCTGTTTACAGTTCGGCAAGTTACACCACAACTATGTTAACCGGTTGAATACGTTGCGTCTTGGATGGTTGCTCAGTGTTGCTCCACACTCCTCGGTACGGTATTAGCAAACCTTAGGGCGAACTCCTCTTCATACTCGACCAGCTAAGCTGATTTCGAAAGTTTGACAGTGTGATTCTATTTGCATCACCTCACTGTACATCTACCTTTCACCCTTCGATTACTGTTTTGAGTAATACATCCCGTTTCACGGAGAACCTGCATTTCCAAGTGTCACCTGCCTGTGCTTTTGGAGTGTCTGACTCAAGCCGCTTGTATGAGTTGAGTCCACACAATCAAAGGGGATCCCTTTTTGCCGCATGTTGTGACGACTTTGTTGACACCAGAAACTCGGATCGTCTTATTCGGAATCAACCTTGTACAGCGTATTAGGAATTAGTGTCAGTGGTAGGCTAAGTTGTGCACATTACACTGTGATCTGAGGAGTTTCTCTTGGGAGCGGAAATGACTCTAACGAGATCTCATGCAGACCTTTGAAACAATGAAGGGTTTGTGCAGCATATGCCCGGCGAGCCTATTTCAGGAGGAACCAGATTCGTGAAGTAAGGGGCACGGAAGGAAGTTGAGAATATTTCGACTGAGCATCGTGCCAAGGTTACATATCTTCACTAGCACATTCGTACCAGTATTACCAACGCACCCTTTGATTTACTGCGCTACATTTGTATTAACTCTGACACTGGAATTCATCTCTACATTTCCATTTTGTCTTCGCATTGTTCGTATCTCAGAGGATTACTATCAGGAATGAAAGATGATCGGCTCCGTTTCGTGTCTTTCACTTCACTGCTCTCCCATTTGGTGATAAATAAATTGTAATGGTTGGCGAATATATTCATAGATCTGTTACGTTCCCGGATCGCCCAGAGCGAGAGGAAGAGCAAAGACCGTCTGATCGTCAGATCCCTCCGTGTATGATCGAATGAATGCATCAAGCACTAAACCACATGACAAGAGCGACAATCATAACATCATAAAAGGTCAAGGTCAATGACACTGTCTGTTCACCTGCTGATCATTGGTACCCCTAACAAGATCAATCCAATCTTTACTTACTTTCGGCCCAACAGATCTCTCTCTCTCTCTCTAACACCCACCAGAGGAGGTGCTGTATTGAACAAATCCGTGACAATAGTTACTCTCTCGAACCGAATGCACCAAGCTAGTGGCCACTATCTGCTATGCCTTAGACCAACCATTTACCCTCAGTTGGCATACTCCGCGTTCATTCGGGCAAAATAAATAAGCACGAAAATTCGGAATTTTTCAGCCGACAGTCTCCTTCTCCTAAAGTAATCTCTTCCCATAGTCCCCTCAGGGTTTCCCTCTTAACAATCTACCTGTTCTGTTGAACATTCTACTGAAACAGCTTGTGTGATTTTCAATTTCTGTTCTACAATAGAAACAATTTTGTTGACAGAGGCAAAGCATGTTCTCCCTGCTGAAAACTACAAACAACCAAGCTAAATTTAAGGTAGTTTTAGCAAGGGATCAGATTGTTGCCCGGACAGAAGAAACGGCCAACAACAAGTAAAACTACTGATGTGGACAGCCTCAATGATGTATTCTTCTATCCTTCAAACGATCTTCTGTCGACATACTCTACAGATTGTCTATCTCTCATAGACTCTGCCATCCATTAGGAGATCTATCATCTTAAAACCACGAAACTCACGAGTGCACTAGGCCCAAGTAGTCTGTGTACCTCTATGATCAAATATGATGCTGGTCCACTCACAGAGGTTTTCACGTCTCTTAATAGTAACTCTATATGCATATTCTCAAACCATGATCTCTGCAGACCTCTCGACATTGACCCTACTTCTAAATTGTCTTCGTATAGTATCCTATCCGAACGGTGTCGACCCAGTGTCATCAATTTCTCTGGACTTAAACGGGCAGAGCGCGCACATACACACACAATTCACCTTGTGTATAAGCCGAACAGATGTAATTCAGATGCTGTCTCTTCACTGATGCACTTTATTTGTAATGCAATGACCTTGGCAACTTACCATTCCGTTTCAGTGTGAGTCGTGTTCATTCATGTCTCACTAGACCGTTTGGTTCATGGCGTTTCTGTCTTCCTCTCTTGCAGATCTTCAGATAACCCTCTTCATGGAGAACCTCCTGGCTATCGAAGGCTCCAGCCCACACCGAGACTCGATCCACATTCAGTTGTCTGGTGTATCCGTTTACAGGGGGCACCCATCCTACTGCGAGCGACAGTGAATAATCCCTGAGTCTTTTAGGTGGTTGTGCTTTTCCCATACTTATTTTCAACATTCACCTGTTATTTACCGTCTATCCCACCAGCCAAGATCTTTAGATATTCTGATAATGTGGTCTTCTGTCAGGTCATCTCAAACCCGTCTGATGTGGAATTATTTCCTGACAGTTTGGTACGATTGCAAGTATTCTCCAACCAGTCCGGTCTCTAGTTCAATGCTTGTAAATGTCTCGAATGCGTTTCGAGTCTTTCTAGGTCTGACTATCCCATGGAACCCTCGGTCATCATCACTCCTCTACCCATTACCAAATCACACACCACCAAATACCCAGGACTCATCAAAAAGAGCAATCAACGGCGGTCCTCCCACGTGCAGGCCAGTGTTAGCAACTGCACCGTTTATCCTTACAGAAACTACAAAAATCACGAGTGCAACAGTCCCAGATGTTCTACTTTTGTCTATGCTCAAACAGGATACTTGTCCAATAAAAGAGATTTTCCGGTCCATTATTAATAAACCTATCTGTCTATGTTCAATTCTTGATTCCTGAAGAATTTTCACCAGTCCTGTGCTTACTTCCAATTTCGTGATTGTGTATCTACAGGCTCACGAGACTGTAGAATGAATAACACTCAACACACGAGAGGACCGGTTCACCAGATCTCGATGAATTAAACAGCCAACAGAACGCTAAATTCGAACACATGCGTTGACGTGCGAAAAGCACGCGCGCGAACACACACACACATGCAATGACACAGGCCAATAAACAGTACGACACGTGACAACCCAATAGCCTCGCCAAATTCACAAACACAACCATACACCCACATTGGGGCACATTAGAACCGCGTTGACAAACTACCAAACAGAACGAAATGCACCAATCAGAACGCGATAACGACAGCATGCACCAAATGGTCCAATCAAATTCCAATACATACTCGATTGGTCTAGAACAGTACACACATGACCAGACAGAGCTAGAAGCAGCCAGAATCAGCTGTTCGCATGACCTAGTGTACAAGGTCACAATGCTCGACCATATAAAAATACCGATACAGGCGTTGACTAAACAGCTGTCCTATCGACTGCAATCCTATCACTCTATTCGTGCAATCACCGTATCGACTGAGTGAAGCGACTACTGTCATTCAACTGTGCAACTGTGCGACTGTGCATCTCCTTATTCATACGTACGTGAACGCATACAGAAATCCAAACATATATACACTTGAGACAATAATTGAACGCGTGTGGATCATATACCGAGAGGAATATGCCAGCTATCGGAATTGATCTAGGAACGACATATTCGTGCGTTGGAGTGTTCCAACATGGTAAAGTGGAGATTATAGCAAACGACCAAGGCAACCGTACCACACCGAGTTATGTGGCTTTCACAGACACCGAACGACTGATTGGGGACGCGGCGAAGAACCAAGTGGCCATGAACCCGACGAACACAGTGTTCGACGCGAAACGTCTGATCGGACGGCGATTTGATGACCCGGCAGTGACGGAGGATCGAAAACATTGGCCGTTCGAGGTGGTTCGTGATGGTGACAAGCCGAAGATTAGTGTGGAGTACATGGGCGAGCGCAAGTTGTTCTCGGCCGAGGAGATCTCGTCCATGGTATTGACGAAGATGAGAGAGATTGCTGCCGCTTATCTTGGAAAAGATGTGAAAGACGCGGTGATCACTGTGCCGGCCTATTTCAACGACAGTCAACGTCAAGCGACAAAAGATGCCGGTGCGATTGCCGGA